ACATCATCTACATTTCTTCTTTGACCGATAGTCTCAGACATGAACACAGTTTTAGAGATGACCAAATGTTTTCTACTCGGACGTGTGCAGTGTGTGTTGGCACAAAATGCGGTAAATGGATTTAGGCTGGGGTGGGGGTCCTGGGGTTGTTCCGAGAAAGCCGTCCATTGATACGTCTCAGGTGCGGGGCCGGCATGGCCGGCACACCGCAGGCCGAGTCCGAAAAAAACGTCCATCGCTCGTCTCTCTCGCGCGCATGGGGCGCTCCGCAAGGGTGAGAGGCAGAGCGATCGACGGAGCACCGCTCGGAGACAGCGTCCAGGGGGCTGGGGCTGGAGGCTGGCACCGGGACCGTCTAATGCAGACATTCACACGCGTGTCACTTTGAGCCCGCCGCCGCCAAGGCGCGTTGGGCAGGCATCGGGCGATGGGGTGCCCGTCCCTGCTTGGCGTCTTCACCGGAACACCGGCTGGGCAGCCAGGCCAGGCGGGCTGCATCTAGCTGCATCCCAGGCTGTGTCCAGGACCGGCCAGCAGCGGCCTTTTTGAAACCCAAACCCTCTTGGACCGCAAAGCTGGCCCTCGCAGGAAAGCTTGCAGGCCTTTTGTCCAGTGCAGGGGCAGGGTCCCGGGGGACGCAGGCCTCGTTACTTGGTTCATCTTGGCCGGGCACCCTCCGCTGGAAACTTCCCTCCGGCAAAGCTTCCGCAGAACCATAGACAAAAGTCACAACGCGTTATCCGAAAAAGCAGAAAAACAGCGATCCACCTTCCCTGTGGTTCGGCCCCCACCACTTGCTTCGTGACGCGCCCTTTCCGCTCAAAATTTACGCGGCCGCGCAGTATAAATACTCGCGGTGGCTAATTTAATGGCTGCGGGGACTCCGTGTCAGAGTCGTGTGTTTTCAGCAATTTTACAGCACGCCCGGCGTCCCGGCGGCCCGGCGTCTCGGCGGCCTGACACCGTCGGCCGTCCGTCATGGTGGCGAAACGGCGAACGGTGGGCGGGCTCGGGGAAAAGATGGAACACGCGCAACAAACATTCCCTCCGCCATCCGTCGCAGGGCCGACAGTGCCCCCACACCCCCGACAACGCGGAGGCCGCGGTCCTCTGCAACTTGTGCAGTCGGATGCTGGCCGGGTAGCCCACCTTGACGGCGACCACGGCGGCCATATCGCGAGCGGCGCGCCTGCCCCTGCGCGCCTGCCATGCCTAAGCAGCAGGTGTTCCTGCCAGCTGTACTGCGGACTCCCGGCGAAGCTACAGGCTCCACAGGCGAAGCCCGGCGTAGAGCTCGCAAGTCATTATCATTAGTGCATGAGCACGGATTGACTGCAGACACACCGCCGCCCCGCTGCCCGGCGCTGCCCCGCCTCCGGCAGGTGTACCAATGACTTTTCGCCAGACATCCGCCGCGCCGTCGTCGCCGTCGCGGAGCCGCGGTCGAGGGAGGTGGTGATTCCATCCATCGGCCAGAGTGCAGGGAAAATGCGGGGATCCACATTAGCACCAAATCACCTCCAGGCCCAGGGTGAACGACCCCACTGCAGCCCGGCGGAGGCTGCACTGCACCGACTGCACCGCTGCGCCCTTCCGGGCCTGCCCTGCAATAACACTCTAGGACCGAACCGCGGCGACCCTGTTTATTACATCGGCCCGGAAGAGAGCAATAAAAGCAGAGCAAGAAACGACCCCCACTTTACCCCGTTTGTGTTTCGGGAAAGGAGTTCATGGACCCTCATTGCCAATGGACAGTGTGTCGGTGACCCGCTGGCTGCGTGCGATACGGACCGCGATGTGTGCCCGCGTGCCGAATCGAATGCCCTCGCACGCGGCAACAGCAGCCCTTCAGGGAAACGAGACAACAAGACAATGCACTGCTGCGCTGGCCACGCGCTGACTGCGTTGACGGCCGACTTCCGTCATCGGGGCTGCCGTGATGCCATTATCAGGACATTCTGCTTTGTTTCGACACTCGGGACGTCTCGAGTCTTCTCCGTGCCGAATCGCCATCCTTCACAATTCGGCGTCTTTGGGTCCGTCGGTCCTTCGTCACGGCGTCGTCAACGCAATCAAGCTATTGCTGAAGTACTTTGTTTTTTTTTTGTCAAAGATGCAGTTATATGCCGTTTTCCCCTCTTTTTTTTTTCAAGGCCAGGCTGGAACAGTTAGATTGCCCCCACCTCCTCCATGAGCACGACGCGCGTGCATACATGCCTAGCGTGCGGAGTCGCCGTGTCGTTGGCAAAACATCTTAATAACTTGGCCAAAACAACAACAACAACACGAACAACGACCATAAGTTTGAATGGCGGGCCCCACCGCGCCGCCCCGCCGCCTCGCCGCGGCGCGCCATGCGATTGGCCGTTGCCGCTGCCATCGCCAGGTGCGTTGTTCGAGATTGCCACGCGGTACCGCCAGTGTACCACGCGGCCACCCAGGCGGCTCGGCGGGCAGCACGGCGTGGTGCTCGTTGTTGCGGGGGAGTGGCTGCAGCGTCCGCAGCAGCGCGGTGCGTGGGTGCGCCGTGGCCTGACCGGGGCGGTGGGTGCGGTCAGGGGGTGGAAACTCCTATGGCGCGGCTGAAGCCAAGCTCGGCGCGCCGCGCTACGCCACGCCACTGCCCAGCCGGCCGGACGGCGGGCGGAGACGGTCTGCCGCCGCGTCTTTTATTGCTCAGGAATCACTTAAAAATTGAATGTTATGAGATGCTATGATTTTTAAACAATGGATTAAGACCCAAGGAATCGCCCTGTCACATTCATTTTGCCCAAAACTTCCGTCATTTCGTACAGTTTGTCGAGAAAACTTGCGGCGGAGCACGAAAATCCAGACTGCAGTTCATATTTTATTTTTTATCGGGTATTTTGGTTGCTCTGACACGTATAGTGTAAGCGAGTCAAAGTTTCCTTGTACTTTCCTCTATCCAATGCGATACCCGGATGTTGAAAAAGACAATCCGCAAAGAAATGCACCGTCATAAAAGATGCGACGGCGAAATGACAGTTTTCGGCAACATTCATTTCCCGCTTGGATTATAATTTCATCTTTGAGGTTATCGAATAAAGACACCTCCTATGCCATGTCAAATTTTATGTAGATTCCAAATCTGTCCTCGGATTTGAAATCCGTTGAAGGATTGCTGAAATCGAAACGGATTAAGTTTGACTTGTAGAGGTTAGCCGTAGAGCTCACGTACACATAACCTCTACAAGTCAAACTTAATCCGTTTCGATTTCAGCAATCCTTCAACGGATTTCAAATCCGAGGACAGATTTGGAATCTACATAAAATTTGACATGGCATAGGAGGTGTCTTTATTCGATAACCTCAAAGATGAAATTATAATCCAAGCGGGAAATGAATGTTGCCGAAAACTGTCATTTCGCCGTCGCATCTTTTATGACGGTGCATTTCTTTGCGGATTGTCTTTTTCAACATCCGGGTATCGCATTGGATAGAGGAAAGTACAAGGAAACTTTGACTCGCTTACACTATACGTGTCAGAGCAACCAAAATACCCGATAAAAAATAAAATATGAACTGCAGTCTGGATTTTCGTGCTCCGCCGCAAGTTTTCTCGACAAACTGTACGAAATGACGGAAGTTTTGGGCAAAATGAATGTGACAGGGCGATTCCTTGGGTCTTAATCCATTGTTTAAAAATCATAGCATCTCATAACATTCAATTTTTAAGTGATTCCTGAGCAATAAAAGACGCGGCGGCAGACCGTCTCCGCCCGCCGTCCGGCCGGCTGGGCAGTGGCGTGGCGTAGCGCGGCGCGCCGAGCTTGGCTTCAGCCGCGCCATAGGAGTTTCCACCCCCTGGTGCGGTGCCCCCGCTGGGCGTGGACCCGATTCACAAATTTTCGCTCATTGACGATGGAGATGCGAATGGAGCCGTTTCGCGAGGCTTGACGTCGACCTCGGGGTGCTCCGGGGCGGCACGCCGGCACGCCGGCACGCCGATTTGGCGTTTGGCGGCGGCCTTTGGCTGCCTTTGGCTCGCCTGGGTGGTCCGGCGGGGCAGCGAGGCTGAGTCTCCCTTCCCCGCGGCTACTCGCTCATTCCCTCATTCCGCATCTGCATAATGGCACCGAAATTGCCTGGCCATCTCGCCATCTCGCCGGCTTCACGCCCCAATTTGCAGCCCCGCACGCGCGCTGCCGCCGGCCTGGCCCGGCCGCTCCCAGACGCCCTCTGCGCCGCCCGCCCTGCCCGCCCTGCCTCCCCGCCGCGTGTCACGTACGGGCGCCAGCACCGCCAGCACTTTGCTTCTCATCGACTCCTCGACGCCGCGGGCTGGCGGGGCTGGCTGCCGGGCTGGCCGGCTGGCCGGCGAGGCGCGGCGACGCGTGCACCCGGCAGACGAATGGCCACGGCGGCGTCGCGACTTCGTCGTTTCGCGGGGCGGAGTCGAGCCAAATCGCCGTGTTTTCTGAGCGTAATTGGTCGTTTAGGCCCCATTTCTCTTCACGCTGCTCCGCGGAGCTTCGCTCGGTGGGTGTGGGGTGCGGGCGCGTGGGGTCCAAGGGAAGGCCCCCCGCACATCGCGGAGGAGATGCACCACGACGAAGGCGTTTGGCGACGTGCGGCCGACCGCGGGGGCCATCGCTCACGGCGTCATTGGGTGCGTGCCCTGGGGGGCTGGGACGCCGGCAGGGCCCTCTGGCCGCACTGTCCTGGTCAAGGCGAGCGCCGCCTCCAGTCTCCCGTCGTCGTGGCTGGCGGTGAATATTGACCGCGTTATGCAACGAGCAACGCGTTCGGCCGTGACTCGCACGCCGCACTCGCCGCACTGGCAGCACCGCGACCTTCTCACGCCCCTTTTCCATACATCACGGCGATAAGCCGCGCGCCCCTCCCCGCCGAGGTACAGTGTTGTGCGCCTCGCTGGGGGCCTTGGCCAGCCTTGGCGTTGGCGGGCCTGGCGGGCCTAGGCGGGCCTCGCTGGGCCTCGCCTGCCATGGGAGATAGAGAAGGCAGTGGCTGCTGGAAGGGGTTGACGCTTTGTTCGGCGGTCGGCCACTTCCAAGATTCGCCGGCTGCCGCCTAGTTGCTGAGCAGCACTCGCTCCGCGCACCGCTCCAGAGCTCCAGGATGGCGTCGTTCCTCGTCCAGGCGGTGCTGTGCCTCTGCGCGGCCAGCCACGCCGCAGCCGCCCCCGCGGACCAAGGTAAGCTGGGTCAGGTTGAAGGCCGTCCGATGAATCCAGCTCGCCCCGCCAGTCGACACACTGCCTCCACTTTTCCATCGCAGCATCCCCACTCCCCGCGGCCGCGGCATTCGACGGCCCTCTCGACCTGACGCACCCCCTCAGCAAGGCGGCGCAGAACTGGCCGGGCGCCCGGGGCTTCAACTTCACCCTCCAGGTCGCGCAAGAGTTCCCCGAGTTCGGCGGCTTCGTCGCCTTCAACGAGTTCTGCATGGCGGAGCACCTCGGCACGCACCTCGACGCGCCCTATCACTTCAACCAGGCCGGCTGGAAGGTGAGTCGGGGCCTGCTGCAATGCTGCCATGCCGCAACCTGCCATCCGCTACTCCCCAACCTCTGCGACGCCCCACCCGCAGGTGCACGAGATCCCCGTGAGCCGCCTCGTAGCGCCCGGCGTGCTGCTCGACGCGTCCGCGGAGGCCGCCGCCAACCGCGACCTGTTCCTGGGCGTGGAAGCGCTGGAGGCGTGGGAGGCGAGGCACGGCCGCGTCGCTGAGGGCAGCGTGGTCCTCGTGAGGTTCGGCTGGGCCAACAAGTACGCCGACCGCAAGGACTACTTCGGCGTGGCGACGGACGACCGCACCTCCAACGACACCGAGCACCTCAGCTTCCCGTCGCTGTCCGCGGAGCTGGCGCGGACCCTCGCGGCGCGCAAGGTGGGTAGTACAGGTGCCCTCGCACTGAAAAACAACCGGTGAGTCCTATTCGAACCCGGGTCCGTCTGTCGTTGCGCAGGTGGCGGGCGTCGGCGTGGACACTCCGTCCGTGGATCCGGGCAAGGCGGGCGACCACGCGCCCCTCGCGCACCGCGCGCTGGCCGCCGCCAACGCCTTCAACCTGGAGAACGTGAACCTGGCCACGACGCTGCTGCCACCAACCGGCTTCACGCTGCTCGTCATGCCCACCCTTATCGTGGGCGGCACGGGGGCGCCCGTGCGGATCGTGGCGCTCCCCGGGAAGGGCGCGCTGGCCGCGTAGCGCCGCGCAGCGTCCAGCGATGGAGCCATGGAGCCCCGACTTCGAGAGGTGTGATTGGCCAGCGAGGAGCTGCCTAATCGCACCGTGGGAACAGAGGGAGGGGGAGAGGGGGAGAGAGGGGTCCCAGGTGTTTTCGTTGTCGTTTTTGTCCCCGCCGCCGCGGCCTCGCATCACCCCTCGCCGTCGTTCTCGTCCTCGGCGTGGATGTCGACACACGGCATCTCGCTGCCCCGGGAGAGCGGGAAGGGACGCGCCGCGGCCTTGGCCGGACCGAACCAACTGCAGTACGGTACTCTGCAAGTGCGAAAACGGTTTCCAAAATGGCCCCGGAAGGAAGCACCCTTCGGGCGGAGCGGGACGGGGCGCTTCCTCCCGATGAGAAGGGGAAAGGGGGCGAGGCAAAGACCTTCAAGCGCACCGAGCCGAGTCCTCGCCGGGGTCCCGGGGTCGCGGCACGGCAGGCATGGCGCGTCCAGCGCATGCACGAAGTGCACGAAGGTGTGACGACATTGCGGCGCAGTTGAATGAGACGACGAGCAGCCTGAGCAGCCCGCGCGGCCCGGCAGGCACCTGCCGGCGTGCATCCCAGAGTGCTTCCGCTTCCAGGCTGGCCAACTGCCCCGCCATGCCCCACGCTCCGCATTCAGCGCGCCCTTTCTGCACCCGCTGTCGACACTTGAGCATTTAGCGGCGTTTTGGTGCAACCGCTCGCGGCTATGGCCTGGCCGGCCACGTGGTCGGGCCACTCTAGAATGTCGCGGCGGGCGGGTGGCGCAACCCGCGGCCAACCTCCAACCGAAGCGACCTTTCACAATCTCCGGGGAAGTGTCCCTTCCCTCCCTTCTATCTCATTGTAATGGGAAGCAGATAACCTCCTCCACGCAGTGCCACCGCTCAGCCCCCCCCTCTTTTCCTCTCGTTTCCTCAATGGCTCGAAGTAATATTTATCAATGGGCTCCGGGGGACTTGTCAGAAATCTATGGAGTGTGGAAATGTATTTTGTAAAAATAAAGACACTTAGAAATTCACTCAAGACTCACACGTGCATTTTCAGGAAAACCTGGAGCAACAATATTTTTCATACGAACAGAGTGGCGGTTTGGTTCCGGCGTTGCGCCACAGTCAGGATTCGCACTGAAGGGGTGCAAAGTGGGGAAGGTGGGGGAAGGGTTCGGGCAGGGGAAGGCGAGGCTCTCATTGTGGAAGGTAAGAAACCCTCCCGTCTGGTAGCCGTTGGGAAGTTTTGGCGGGAGATGCCGCGAGAAAGAAGTTCAAATTGCTTGTTGCCTTTTCAGAATTCAACGTTCTTTTTCCACTGCATTGCTGCATGTTTTATGTAGACGGGGCTCCTGCAACCAAACCGCCCACGTCGGCCTGCGTCATTGAAGTAATTACTGAAAGAATTGATAAAGTTGCCCTTAGCCTCGCCGCGTCGCCGCGTCCTGCTGGCTCCCGCATCTTGCAGCAAGTTGTGCTGCTCCAGCCCTGGACCCCTGGACCCCAGACCAGCATCGCAGCGTCGCAGCGTCCCAGAGTCCTGACCCGAGCAACGCACTGAGCAACGCGATGCGGCAATGCGGCCCGAACAATGCTTTCGGCGAGCTCTGCCTCTCTCGCACCGACGGCGCGTCCCGTAGCAGTGCGAGAGAGACAGAGCGACGGACGCCTCTGTTCGGAACTGCGTGCGTGCGTAATTATTATCAAGGTGCGCGCGTCGCGAGGCGAAAAAAAGATTTCCCACGCACCCTTCTTTCTTTTTTCCTTTCTCCGTGTTTGACGGTGTGGGTCTCACGGGCCGTTTTTTTACGCGGTAGCCGCGGCAGCCTTGTCGCCCCGCTATTCACCACCGCTGTGTCCAAGCAAGTCGTGATGCAAGTCCAGAGGGGGTGAGTGACGCCAAAAGACGCGGAGGGCGGCTCGCTCGGCCCGCCCAGGTGCTCGCTCGGCGGCGTGGCGGCTTGGGGAGGGTTCTCACGGGCAGGACCGCCATTGCGCAAATGACTCGCTGCACCTCGCCGTCGACGGCACGGCGGCACGGCCACCCTGCGCAGCGCGCGCACCGCTCGCTGCTCAAGCAGCGCCCTTCCTTCCTCGTTCCGAAACGCGCCGCGCCCGGCCGCGCCTTCCCACGTTCGGCCGGACCCACCCTTTCTGCTGACGGACCGGATTCCGGCCGTCTGGTCGCCGCCAACGGGGTCCGCGCGGCCAGTCAGTAACAGAACGCCTTGGCAGGCGGTGTTCGCTTTGGCGCCGGCGCGGCGCGGACTCGGTGGCGCCAGGAGCACGCCGTCGACGACGGGCCGCCCGGCCGCCGGGCTGACGGCAAGCTGACGGCCATGGGAACGCCGCGGCGACACCGCGACAGCATCACGGCCGCGCTGAGTCCGCGTCGTCCACGTCGTCCGCGGAAGGCAGGCAAAGGCACCACACACGTGTGGCGCGGCGTCGAGGTTCGAGCGCGGCTGGAAATTGGCGCAGGAAGCAGCCCATCCGGTCAGCCCGGCGATTCCAACGGCTCGCTGGGCTGCTCCGTCTCTCTCGCACCCCAACGGGACGCCCCATGAGTGCGACAGAGACAGAGCGGCCAAACGGTCCTTCGGACTCGCCCGGCTGGGCCCGGACTGCTGCGCGGCCGTCGCGGAAAAGCGACTCTCAGTTGCCTGCATTGCCTGCATCCGGCATCGACTCGATGCACACACCTGATGGGCGCAGTGCTTTGAGTTATGAAAAGGGGGGAGAGGGGCAGGAAGCCTCCGGTGGTCCCTTCCCTCCCCGCCCGGGCAGCCCGGACCGCTACGCCGCGCCCCGCGCCGCCCCGCCCTGCACGTGTTGTTCACGGGAATGAACACGCAGGACGAGCCGAGGCCGCGGAGGACCGTGGAGGACACGCCCAGGGCACGGTGTTGGACCGGGGACGCGACCAAGACCCTGCGCCAGGACGACTGTGCCGCGCGCCGCGCGGTGCCGCGCCACTGTGTCGCTGATTGGGCGACGGGGAAGCCCCTGGGCTGGGCAGGCCTGGGCGGAAGGGAAGGGAAAGGAAAGGGCGCAGCGGAAGCGGGCACACTGGCGGGTGGCCGCGTCCAGCGCGGGGCGGCGCGGGGCGGCGCGGAGCCGGATGCGACACGGAGGCCATCGCCGCCACCGCCATCACACGCCCCATTGCACCCCGGCCGTGCCGGCCGCCTGCGTGCCGTGTCGCCTCTGTCCCCGTGTTTTGATCCGCGCGATGTCGCCGCGTCACTTTCTCGGAACGGCCCAGCGGCGGCTGCTCTGATGTGGGCAGCTGGCCGCCATCACAAGCAGCTGCTCGCGCCACTGCCGCCTTCTCCGCCTTCGCGCCGCCGGGCCGGGCCGGCCCCCGGCACGGCACGTGCCCTCCAAGTACATGCGCCATGCGCCGCGCCTGCAGCTGCGACTCGTCCCGGCCCTCGCCCCGGACTCCCGGACGGCCGCCGGCGACTCCGTTGATCGCAGCCGCAGCATGCAACGACGCCTTGCTCGCCCTCAAGATGGCGAACTGCTCAAACCCGCGCGGCCTTCCCCCTGTTCTGGTTCGAGGGCGGCAGGCCGCGGGCCACCCCTCAACAATATGCGGACCGGTGCAGCGCGAACATCGCGCCGTGGCGGCGGCCGTTGGCGGCGACGTGCTCGCCGCGCACCCCGTCTTGTCTTGGGTTCGAGTTGGCACTTCCCCCGCGGACCACTCCTGTTTCCCACGCGGTCAACCACGTCAAGGCGTCTCGAGGCGCGCCATCTGCCGCGCTGCCCCGCGACCTGCCGGCCGGCCGGCGTCGCCTCGCGGCCCACGCCCTGCCGCGCCGCCGCGCCGCCGCCGCGTTTCTTCGTAATTACCCCAAGAAAGCCGGCCGGCCGGCCGGGCCTTCACCGCCTCGCCGCTTCGCCTCGCCCGCTCAAACAGTTGCATATATTTGAGGGCGATTCCGGGCGAGACATGCACGGTGGCGGCGCACAGGTGTGCCTGCGCCGCCTGCGCTGTCGAAGACAGGTGGCCTAGCCTCAAGGGGTTCCCGGGCCACGCCGGGCAAGGCCGGGATGGCAGATGTTTTCGGCCGTTGTGCGCGGACAGATGGGAAGGCCAAGATGTTCCGCGGACCGAAGACCAAATCTCTCCTTCCCGCGCCGGCGTGGCGGCGTGTCGAGCGTCGAGCGCACGCAGGGGAGGCCGAGGGCCGCGCAGAGCCGCGCAGTCCAGGCCCGAGGTGACAGAAGACGCCTTTACCTCGCGGAGGCGCCCACACTGGCGACCGCCACGACGGCCTGCTCCTTGCTCTTCGGGAATAAGTGGCGGCGCGCGACCCCGACGTCCCCGATGACACCTGCCACGCCACCCTCACCTGTCCGGGTGCGAGGAAGTGGCGCAGTCGTGTGTGTGCGTGTGTGAGTGTTCACCTGCCCCCGATGCCCTAATATTCGGGGCGGCTGGCTGGGCCTGCTGCGGGCCGCCGTGGCGTTCGGCGGTGTTGCGCCCGCAGCTGCATCGGATGGTCAGCTGACGGCGTGCGAGAGAGACGGCCTGCTTGATCGGCGTCCTCTAGGCCCCGTTGTGCGGGCCTGCAGGCCACATGCAGCTACGGTGGCACCTGTTTCACGCCGTGCAGGTGCTTGCCGATATCAGGTGCATCCGCCCGCCTGGCGCGGCCTGGCCAGGGCGGCCGGGCCGGGTGTCCGTCGCCGTGCCCAAACCGCCACCGCTCTGCTTGTCCAGCCGGAGGACGCGCCGCGGCGATCTCGACATCGCGATGCGACGCCCTCGCGTCTCGCGCGTTGTGTCTGAAGGTGCAGTGCGCCAGCGTCGGCCAGCGTGCAGCACGGCGAGGAAGCCCGTCTGTGTTGCTCCCACCACTACTGCAGCTGCAGCAGCACGCCGCGTACGAGCCGTTCACTTGACGCCCCCGTCCCCGACGGTCGCCCACTGCACGGCCTGCACGCCAGCATGTAGTCCAGGCCGACGTACTGCGCCGTGCTTGCGGGGGCCGCTGGGCCGCCGGGCCACCGACCGAGGTGGACGATGGCCACCTTCCTTTTCTGGTCAGAGTAGTCCGTCGCCATGGGAACAACAACAGAGCAAAATCTGAAATCAGGTGTCTGCTGTAAGCGCCGGCCAGAAGCGACCGCGACGCCCCGGCCAACGCCCCCAACGCCCTCTCGCTCTCGCCTGCTGTCGGTGGCAACGACGCTGTCTCTGTCTGCGTGGGCTGCTAACGCTGCCCGCCAATGCACTGCACTGCTCCACAAGTCCGTCGCGCTCTCGTGTCCCGTCGCCATCTCTGCGCCCTTCGGTGCCTTAGCCTGTGCCTAAGGCTGTGACGGCCGAGATCCTCACCTGGACGACTCTAAATGGACAGTTGGAGCTTGCCGGCACGTCTGTGAGCACGGCTGCGTGTGTGACTGATGTCTGGAGCCGAAGCCGCCCACGCCGCACGCCGCGGCATGGGGCCATGATGGGGCAAGGCACGGCAAGGCACGGCAAGGCGCAAGGAGACGACTCGGGCAGGTGCAACGACCTCTCGAGGCGCGGCTTGTCTCGGTCTCGAGGTCTCGAACTCACGTCAGCCCGGCGCGCGAAAACCGCAGCCGCCAGCGCGCGGACGTTCGGGCGGATACGGAATCATGGAATCGAATCCACGCCAACCAACCAGACAACAACACCCGTACGCGGCTCCCGTTCGGGCGTCCGGCACAGTGTCTTGAAGTACAGTAGTTTCAGCCGCGCGCAAAATTGAAAGGATTGAAAGTGGGATGGATTGTTGCTGGGTCCGGCGGGCGGTCGGCAGCGCGTCCATTCATTCCGAGCGGGGAGTACTGTAGCCGGCGTAGCCAGGCCGCCAGCCAGCGGACCGAGACGGGGCGAGGCAGTGGCTGCCCCGCCGGCCGGACTTTACCGTCGCATGGACGTAATAAGAAGAAAGAAGACCATTGCGCCGCAATTTACCTTGGCAGGAAGCGCGCCAGGCCGCGTCCAGAACGTCCTGGCCGTCCAGACCGTCCAGACGTGGCGGACGGG